CAGCCCCGCGGTGCCAGGGCCAGGGGGCCGCAGCACTCGGCTGGTGGCACCTGTACGTGTCAGACCATGGCAGGAGCACAACAGCTTCTCCCTGGCTGCTTCACGTTGCTGCTAATCTCTCCTGACAGCTCCTCTACTCGCCGGTGGAGAACATCCAGCGCGTGGCGGCTGGCGTGCTGTGTGAGCTGGCCCAGGACAAGGAGGCGGCAGATGCCATTGATGCAGAGGGGGCCTCGGCTCCGCTGATGGAGCTGCTGCACTCCAGGAACGAGGGGACAGGTGAGTGCCGCCGTGCCGGGCCCTGTGCCGGGGGCTCTCCGCCACCAGGCATTGCCCCAGCTGCAGCCGCTCTGGGTCTTCTGGTGCTTCAGTGCTGCACGGCACCGGGAGCTGAGGCTGCCGTCCTTCCCCTGCAGCCACCTATGCGGCTGGCCGGCTCTTCCGAATCTCGGAGGACAAGAACCCCGACTACAGGAAGCGCGTCTCCGTGGAGCTCACCAACTCCCTCTTCAAGCACGACCCGGCAGCCTGGGAGGCGGTGAGCATCCCGCTGGGCACGGAGTTCTTTTCCCTGGGGAAACCAGGCCCTCTTGGGACGGCCCCGTCCTGCCTCCAAAAGCTTCCACGGGAGGTGGGGGGTGGATGAGCTGTGGCCTTGGCTCTCCGGCAGCCCTGGGTCGCGGTACCTGCTACCCGGGACAGGGCTGGGCACCACATAGCCCCTGAGCATCGTGCACGTGTGAGCACGAATCCCCTCTACAATTGTCACCTTCTTTTGTAGGCTCAGAGCATGATCCCCATCAACGAGCCCTACTCAGATGGTGAGTATGGCGCCTGCTTTTCCTGCAGGGTTCCCCCGTGGGCTGTGCTCTGATGGGGCAGTTGCCTCATCTCACCAAACCAGGCTGGTTTTAAAACCTTTCTTGGGTGGCTACTAGCAAAATGCCAGCCTGGCCCACCTGGGGATGCTCAGCGGGATGCTCAGCTCCCCAGGGAGCGTGTGCAGCCATTCCCCTGCGTGCCTGGGCTGGCCCAGAGGCTTGGGGCAGGTGGGTGGCCCTCGTGTCCTTTGCAGTGGCATGTGCTGCCCTGGGCGGGGGGACCGGGAGGGTGGCTGAGGTCTGGAGAAGTCTCTCACCAGCGGGAGCTGAGGTTGCCGCATCCCTTCCCTGCAGAGCTGGACCCTGGCTACCGCCCCATGTACTCGGGTGACATCCCCCTGGACCCCATCGACATGCACATGGACATGGACGGGGACTACCCCATGGACGCCTACAGCGACGGCGTCCGAGCGCCCTTCGCTGACCACATGCTCGCCTAACCCTCCCCGCAGCCCCCCACCAGGTAGTTGCTGGCGTGTACCTGGAGTGTGGGCGCTTACCAGGGGCGTGCTCGGCCCTGGAGCGGGGCGGGCGGCCGGGGGAGGCAGGGCTGGCTGCTGGTGCCGGCGTGCCGTGGGGTCCCTGGTGCTGCCGTGGGGTCCCTGGTGCTGCCATGGGGTCCCCGGCACTGCTGTGGGTCGCCATCCCCATCACCCCAGGGCTCTGGGGGCGCTGGGCTCTGGTCTCCCAACCCTGCCTCGGTCGAGTAACGGAGCTCTGTCCTGCCACGTGCAGGTGTTTTCTCCATACAGAAGAGGGTGGCCCCAGAGCTGAGTATTGGCAAGGACTTGGGAGACAGAAGTGCCTGAGAAGACAAACTTTTCCATTCCCACGAGAGGTTTTATTTTTCGATTTTTTTTCTTCGCTGTGGGTCTGTGGAGAAGGTCCTTCCTCCTGGGACTGCTTCGAGCACCTACTGCCGCATCCAGCATCCAAGATACTGTTTCTGAAGCTTTAAAACACACAAACCCTGCACCGTTAGCGACCTTTCATTGGCAAAATAGTCTTTTCTATGAATATATATTTCTTTTTTATTTTTAATATGGTGCCAATGGCTTTTGCCGTCTTTCTGTTTGTGCTTTCTAACTTCCCCACTATTTGTTCTGCGTGTTAGTGTTCTAGGAAAGGAATCTAACACGGGAAAACCCTTTGCTTTCTGCGAACTCTAACTTAATCAGGCCAATCCAGAGTTTGCTGGAACCAAAGGGTGCCGTGTCTCAGGACCTTCGTTTTAGCCATCGGGATGTCTGCGGTTTAATTCTTTCCGATCAGCCGTTGGGGAGCTGACTTTGCGTACCTGCCTATCCTACCAGTACCCATAGAGGAGTGACTCCAGCATTAGCAACCGTGTCCTTGTACTGATCTCTGTTGCACATTTTAACCCGTTCCCCTTCTTTTTGGTGAGTGGTGTGTTTCCGTCCCCTCCTCCCTTATCTAACGCATTTTTTAAAGAGGCTCTGGATCTGATTGTGGTTTAAGGCTTCCACCAGAAAGGGATGGACAGTTACTGAAGTGTGGTTCAGGAATGGAAGATTTTATTATTTCTGTAAGTTGTTTTTGTATAGACCAAAGCAAAGAATAAAATAACCCCCCCAGCCCCGTGTTGCCCTGAGCCTGTTCTGTCAGCTGGGGAAGGTCAGCGAGTCCCCTTGGGGCAGCCGGGGTGAAGGTGGCCATCGCCCTCCTTGGGCCAAGCGGTGGTTCCCTCCCGTGGGGCTGGGTGGCCTCGGATGAGCTCGTTCCCATGCTCTGCACCCGCCTGGCCGAGGGCTCAGGTGGCGGCCGGGGGGGACAAGCAGGCTGGGCCCCTCCCTGTGCCTCGGGGACGATGCTCGGCAAGGCACAGGCCACCCGCTCGCAGCCCCGTGGCACCGGCAGCAGCTCCCACCGTCAGCCCTGCACCCGGACGCGTCGCCAGCCCTTCCCTTGCCCGTCGCTGTGCTGGGTCATTAGCATGCCGTCTCCATCCAGTGTCTGTCTGCTCTGTCAGGAGGTAAAAACTCCCAGTAATTAAGATGTTTGTTCATTAGGCAGCATCACCGGCATCTCCTCTCTGCTGCTGTGCATAGCTCGCTTTAATGAGCTCTGGGGGATAAACGTGCCGGTCGGGAGCGAGCCCCGCTGATTGCTGGAGTGAAGCCTGGATGGAGCCGCAAGAGGCCAGGTTAAAAAAAGTGATTTACTCAGAGAAACCTAGTTGCCTCCTTTCACAGCCCGGCTTCATAGTGGGAACAGATGGCAGGAGGAAATATTCTCAGCTGAAACGCTAACTCTGGCAGCTGCGCCTGGGGACGGCGACGGAGAAGCGGCGCCAGGCAGGGATCACGCTGGGAGGTGGAAACTTCGCAAAGTTACCCCCAACTTCAGGGCCGCCCATCTGCTTGGTGGCCTCCTCAGCACGGGGACGGGGCCAGGGACAGCCGCCGCTGGCAGTCAGATGCCCTGGGCTTTTCCACGGCACCTTTTTGGGCAAGAAGGTGCAGGCTGAGCGCCGAGGCAGGAGATGGCCTGCAGCAGCAGGGCTGTGGGTTTTGCCTGCTGGGGTGTATGTGCTGGGGGATGGAAGAGTGAAACACGGGTGGCCCCGGGATGCCCACGCCCCCGTCCCTGGCAGGTTTGTACCTCTGCTCCGTGCATCCACCCTGCGGGGGACGGCCAGGGGCGTGGGGGCTCTTAGGGCGGAGGTGGGGGACCTGGAGAGGGGAGTCGGGTCACGCAGCGATGTCTGCGCTGTGCCAGCGGCTCGGGGTGCTGCGATTGCTGCATCGGTTCGGTGAGATACGCGCTGCCGTGACCCAGGGAGGCAGCCGGAGAGCCAGGACGTCGTCCCCGACCCCCAGCTCTGAGCTCTGCCTGCACAGAGCACCTCTGCAAGCACAGCTCGTTCTGCGGGACAGGGAGGTGGGTGCCCACCACGCGTGGTGCCTGGGCTGCTGCAGAGCGTGGGAGGACGTGAAGGTTCGTGTGTCCACGCTGGCGTGCCATAGTCGGCCCTGGACGGTCCCAGTAGCAGGCTGGGCTAGGGCAGGAGCAAGCTGGGGACAAGCAGAGCAGGAAGGGGTCTGGGAAGCGGGGCAGGCTCCAGTGCCGTCCCGCTGGCTCGGGGGAACATCCTCGGCTGACCTCAGCCGGCGCGGCCGTGCCTGGACCCGGACAAGCAAAACAACAGCTGCTTTCCGGGCTGGACCGAGCGAGGTTCCGGAGGGCAGCGGGGCGAGAGGCGC